AAATCTGTAAAATGGGGACTTACTGGAGACGGAAATGGCAAACCACTCCAATATCTTTGCTAAGAAAATCCCATGGAAGAAGTCCGTGGGGTCGCATAGAGTCAGATGTGATTGAACGACAAATTTCCTGTAGCCCCTCCAACATTAAATGCTTCCCTGTTTTGCCACATTTGCCAGTCTGAGGGTGAGATGAAATCTCAGGGTCCTTTTAATTTGCATTTCTCTGATTCTTAGCATTTCTGAATGTTTTTGCAGATAGTTGTTGATAGTTTGTATTACTTCTTTTGAAAGCTATATACTTTGACCACTTCCTGTTGGGGAATGATGATATTCAGATCTTTTCACTTTGTGATTTTGTGCCAGCTCCATAAAGATTTGGATGTCAGATTTTTGTCAGAGGTGTTTAATTAGTTTTTCCCCCAATCCATCTTTTCTTCTAGTTGCATTGATTTAATATATACAAACCCCTTTTTATAAAATCATTATTAATGGCATTGTTATTTAGTTCTTTATCTTTATTTTATCCTTTCCTGGTTTAAGTATCAGAACTCATATGTCTCATGAGGAAGTCTGATAGAGTGCTTTTTTTACTTTTGAAAAGACCTTACATAGCATGAGGATTATTTTTTGTTTTTGTTTTGTTTTTAGGCAATTGGGGTTAAGTGACTTGCCCAGGGTCACACAGCTAGTAACTGTCAAGTGTTTGGTCTGAGGCTGGATTTGAACTCAGGTCCTCCTGACTTCAGGGCTGGTGCTCTATCCACTGTGCCACCTAGCTGCCCCCCATGAGGATTTATTTTTTTAACTACTTAATCAACTCACTTTTTTGAAATCAACAAAAGCATAATAAATTTTATTTAAGTTCCTCCCTTTATTTTCCCTAATAACTTTTATTTCTGCCTTTTTAATATCAGCATCATTTCCAAATATGTCTCCTTACTGAAGCTAATTATGTAACCAAGATAAATTTAAACAAAATTCAACTATATTCCAGTATTGTAATCAACATTCCTCATGCATAGTCATCTATCTTTATACTAAGAGGAATGGATTATTTTTTCTTAGAATGTATCTTCATCTCATATCCTGCTCTTAAACTCTCTTATTTTACTTCATAATTTTGCTTGAGAGCCACCTTCTATGCTTCTGTCTACATGAATCCTTTCCTGATCCCCTTGTTGTTAGTTTTCCCCTCCCGTTTATTGTGTAGTTATATTTATCTGATGTATACTTTACTCCTCTGTTAAAAGACTGTTTTATTTTTGTCTTTGCACCTCTAGTGCCTGGTGCATAGTAGGTGCTTAATAAATACTTGGGTTGACTGACTGATTGACTTTTATCTGGGACTAAAATTGGTCTCTGCAGTTAACCTTAGTTCAGCAGCAATTTAGTATTGTTTTCATTTACATTATTGTAGTCATCATTGTGTATATCATTATCAACTCCCGTTTTTCTGAGTTCATACAGGTCTTCATGTTTCTTTGAATTCCTCTATTAGTCATTATTTATGGCATAATATTTCATTAGATATATAGGTACATATACATATTACCTATATATGTACGTATCTATTTCTGTATCACAGTCTGTACATCCATTTCCCAATTGATGTGTACCCACTTTGTTTCCCATTTTTTCTATCACAAAAAGTTCTATGAATATTTTGCTACAATATGGGACCTTTTTTATTGTTTGTTTATTGTTGTCGGGTTTTGGGTTTTTTTTGCTAGGCAGTGGGGTTAGGTGACTTGCCCAGGGTCACACAGCTAGTAAGTGTTATGTGTCTGAGGCTGGGTTTGAATTTGGGTCCTTCTGACTTCAGGGTGGGTGCTCTATCCATTGCGTCACCCAGCTGCCCCAGACCTTTCTTTTTATTAATGATCTCCTTTGGGATATATGCCCAGTAGTGGGATGATTAAGTCTAAAGATCTGATTGAGCAACTTTTCTTAAATAATTCCAAATTGTTTTCCAGAATAGTTGGGCCAGTTCACAGAGGTGATCCACCAGTAGTATATTATTAGTGTACCTATTTCCGTATAGTCCATCCAGAATTGATTATTGCCATTTAAAAAAATCATGTTCTTCTGTTTGGGCAAAAACTTCAGTTATTTTAGTTTACATTTTTACTATTAATGATTTGAAACATCTGTTCTTATGGCTGATATTTTGTATTTCTTTTGAGAAATGTTTGATTATATCCTTTGACATTTATTGAAGAATAGCTGTTGGTCTTATATGTATTTGTGTGAATTTCCTATAGATTTTGGACTTTCATCAGAAATTTTGATATGAAATTTTTTTAACCAATCAGCAGTTAGTCATCTTATTCTGATTACATTGATTTTGTGCAAAAACTTTTTTTTATTTTTGTTACCAAAATTGCCTGTTCTGTTTGTTTTTCATGATTATCTTTCTCCCTCCTTTGCTTATAGATTCTTTTTCATCCATTTATCTCATCTTGTCTCATCCGTCACAAGAAGCAGTGTGGTATAAAGGATAGAAAGCTAGCCCTGCAGCCAGAAAGAGCTGGGTCCAAGGCACCCCTCTGAGGCTTATTGGCTGTGTGGCCCTGGGCAAGTCACTGAAGCTCTTAGTACTCAGGCATCTCTGTAAAGCAGTAAGCTGCAGAGGGGATGGCAACCTGAATTGATGAAAGGGGTTTACTTTTTTTTTTATTAATTTATTTTGATTTATTAACAATTACTTCCATAAACTGTCTCTAGGAAGAGCCTTTGAAATAGCCAATAAACAAAACAAAATAGCCAATAAACATTTAGTATTATGGAACTAACGATCAGAGAAAAGACTAGGGCTGAATATTTAAGTCTGTGAGTCAACTACATGGAGAAGACAATTAAACCTATAGAAGCTGATGAGATCACCAAAAGAAAGTATAGAGAAAAAAGAGAAGAGGGTTCAGGGACACTCCCACTGGGGTAGGGGTGATGATCCAGCAAAGGAGACTTAGAAGACGTAGTAAAAAAAAAAGTGGGAGAATCAGGAGAGAGGATCCAGGAGAGGAGGGTGATCAGCAGTGCCATATGCACAAAAAGATTAGGGCTGAGTAAAGACTGTTAGACTTCACAATTAAACTGTTGATAACTTAGGAAAAGTAGTTTCAGTTGAGCTAAGACCCAGATTACAGAGGGTTGAGGAGTAAGTGGGAAGAGAGGAAGTAAAGACAGTGAGTGTAGACAGCTTTTTCTAGGAGTTTGACTGAGAAAGGGAAGAGAGCTACAGCTTGAGGGAATGGTAGGATCAAGACTAAGTTTTCTAAAGATTGAGGAATCAGATATATTTAAAGGTAGTAAGTAGGCAAGAGGCTAGTAGATAGGGAATGATTGAAGGGATAATCTACTGGAGAAGATGAGAAGGGATAGGATCAAGGGTATGTACATGTAGAGGGATTAGCTTTGGCAAAGAGAAGGGCCACCTCATTATCTAGTGGACAGATAGAGACTAGAGGAAAGGAAGAGAGAGTGGAGGATATAATGTCTAGGAGTTTTTAGTTATGTGTTTAATGCAACATCACATGAGTTGTGAGTTGTGCCTTCTCAAGTATCTGGCCCCCATGATCCTGAGGTATGAGGACTACAGGAGCCTCAGGTTAGTGACCTAGAAACTGCTGACTTTGGAACATTGAATAGGACATTGTTTTCTAGGCCATGACTTGTCCCAATGAAGTGGTGTCATATGAGATAGTCCTGTCGGTGACCAGGCTTGTGAAGAAGTACAGAATGGAGCTACAAGCAGTCACGTGGGACATCCTTCTAAAGATTATGGAGCGACTACTACAGCAGCTACAGGTGAGTATTGAGGGAAAATTTCAGCCAAAGTAATGAATGTTAATTTGTTCTAATAGACATGCTAATTTTATCCGTCCACATGAGTGAGTATTGTTCCCTCCAATGGCTGTTATCGAGGGTGTCCTTTCTCTTCTTGTTCAGTTTCTGGAGGTTCTTTAGGAATCAATTCCAGAACCTGTAGTAGATACTTAGATACTCTTGTATATACTTTCAATGAGGACAAATCCTGATCTTTTGAGAGTGAATTTAAACTTTGGAAATAACCAACATTTTAGAGCCAAGTTCAATGAATTAAGTGGGCAGTTATATTGGGAAATACCTTTTTTGACCAAAAATGAGTTGTAACAAGTCGAAGGTCTAGAAAATAAGGACCCAGCTCTTGGGAACTGGGCTTGATGCTGAATTCTATTGCCGGTTGGTTGGCATTATATAGATAAGAGAATCAGCCTAACTCCCTCATTTTACATGTGGGGAAACTGAGACTTTGCAAGATTAAGGGAATTACCTGCTACCACTCAGACAAGAACTGGAGAGCCAAGCTTTGAATGATGATTTTCCAATGCTCTTTCTACTACTTTAAGGAATTGCAAAGTAATAAAACTGGTTTTCTTGTGGAATTCATAAATTTGCTCTGATGGTTATTACCAGAAAAGAGTCCAGGCCTGGCCTGAGCAAAGTCTGCTCTGTTACACCCTCCAAAAGAGAGTACTTTGAAGGGGACAACACTTATTTGCATATATAGAAGTCCTAATGAGTATTTGAAAAAAATGGACAAAACTAGTTACATTAATTTATAGTCATACTTTGTAATTTAAAGCTGCACTGCATGTTTTGGTTCAGCAGTTGCACAGCATTTAGTGTTTAATTGATCTGACACTTCTGTATCGTAGAGGTGTACAGACAAAACAGGCTTGTAGGCCTCAGTGTTGTTACGTGTCATGAGAACCGAGTAACACTGATACTGCAATGCTTTTTGAGTTGAGGAAAGGCTTTAGGTAACATGGCCAAGGGAGTTCTGCCTTGCCCATTCGCTGGCTGGCTTTGCTTAGATGTGTTAGCAGTATTTGTCTGCTGCTACGTAGTGTTAATTGGCTGCTCCCTTACTATTCTAAGGGAGCCTGTGTATGAAATCCTTGGCCCGAGTGTGGAAGAATGGCTGCCGAGGAGATGCTTATGCCTTAAGTGGTACATACCCTTGGTGGTCAAAGCAATCTCTTCTCCCTCTCTCTCCCTCATTGCTAGCTTAATCATCTCCTGTGATTATCTTGGGCTGTGGAGGGGAAACAGAAAATGGTGTGAGGTAGTGCCCCTACTGTCACTCACAAGCATTGCATTAGTGCCTGGGCCATGAGAGAAAGGGGTCTGCAGAATAGATGAGTTGCTGTCAGAGCTGTTTGTCTTAAACTTGGTTTGTACAGAGTAAGAGACCAGCCACCCAGGAGCAGTGGAAGTAATCTTATCTTGTTTCCACATAAACCACATGACAGCTTTGTATTACAGAGTATAGAGAGCCAAGAGCTCAGAACCATTGTTCATGATTTGTTGAGCACTGTTGAAGAGCTCTGTGATCAGAATGAATTCCACGGCTCAGAGGAGAGGTTCTTTGAACTTGTCGAGAGATGTGCTGATCAGCGGCCTGTAAGACCATTTTCTCCAAATCTCTCTTTCCTGGTCCTGCTCCCCCAAACCCTTTTTCCCCTGGAGCCTTTTCTTTTATGATTCTTTGCTGCTGGGAGGATGTATGCTCTGAGGGAGGGGGAAGATAGTGGGAGCCCACATGGGTGGGATGATGGTAGGTAGATGAGGGCAGTTTGAGGGGAGGTCCCATCTCTGAAGAGCTGCTGACCAGGAAAGTCTGGTAGCACATTGGCTTGGCTCCCTGCCTGTTATTCTGCACTCAAGTTTTATGTTCCACTGGGGAATTATACCAGGATTTCTGTGAAACCTAATTATCATATGTCAGTTGAAGGGCACTGCGGTAGCCTAGCCATCAATTTCCTCCCACCTGTGTGGAGGAAGTTGAAGGGGCAGACTCTGAGCTTGTGTTGCCACCCTGGAGCTCCTGCCTTTTAGCACATCTGCTTCCCACACGGCATTCGGCATATTTTTTTCTGGGAATATACAACTTGAGACCAAGATTTTACATACTTTTTTTCCCTTTAATTTTCATTGCTGCCACCTTACTGCCTTTGTTCTCGATGAGTCACAGGCAATGGTGAATGCCAGGAGGTTAATGTAACCTGGAAAATTTGTGTAACTGCCCAGGTCAGCAACAGGGGGGCATGTTTACTTGAAAGCTGCTTCTAAGAGAGGAAAAAGATTTGATGGTTGAAGTGGCTTTTATTAATTATTAATACCAAAGTATCTTTTATTTTGACAGGAGTCCTCCCTTTTAAACTTAATAACCTATAGAGCTCAGTCTATTCATCCTGCCAAGGATGGCTGGATTCATAATTTACAGTTATTAATGGAGAGATTCTTCAGGTAGGTAAAATCTTCAGAACCTAATGTAAATCCTTAAATTTTAGACCTTGGGAATAGAGCATGACAGCATTCATTTTAAATGCCTGGGCCTCAAGGTACTGCTACTGAATGTGGTTTTATGAATTTTTAACAACAGTAAAGGAAAACTTGTTTTTTACAAGGAAAGATTTGCTTTCCATTTGGTCAGATTTCATTTACAAAGCTATTGCATTAATTTTGGACACTCAGAAACCATTATTTTTAAAAAATTGCCCAGAACTTACATTCATGCACATTTTTCTACTGTTAAATTTGGATTCCCGATTCAGCAATTGGGAATCTACCTGCAGAATATAGTCATAATATTATGATCATAATAGAATCTATTTCTAACATGGACTATCATATACTTTACTAAGGCCCTTACTTTGCTGGCTCCTTTCAGTATCTTCATAATCAAGTATAGTATAGAGACTGCATGGTGAATTCTTGAGGTCTAGAATGTGTCCACTGAAAGTTACTATATACTATATGTTGCTATATTTGAATATGACTTTGTCTTCCAGTAAACTTCATTCATTTGCACTTGCTTCTTCTCCCTTCAGGAATGAGACCCGAAGTGCTGTGCGCATTAAAGTACTGGATGTTTTGTCCTTTGTTCTGAGCATTAACAGCCAGTTTTATGAGGTGTGTATTTCATTAGTGCTCCTCGTGAAGCTCACTACAGTACTGTGAGAACAGAGATGGTACATGGGAATGAGAGTGTGAGGACTTGAGGCTGGTTGTTGTTCAGTCTTCGTTCTTGAAAAGGACCAATGATATCGTGAGGGCGATGTCTTGACGTTAGAGTGAATTGGATTTAAGTGAGGCAGAGCTATGTAAAGTTGTCAGCCTCATTTTCTCCTCTGGAGTCATTAAAGTCTAGTGGCAAGACATAAGTCAGGACACCTGGTGATGCCCAGGATGCAGTGGGTGATCTTGGCCTTTCTAAATTAAAGTTTTTCCCAGGTGTTCGTTGAAGTTTGGCCAAAGAAAACGCATCAGGGGCAGCTCAGTGGTGTGGTGATGAGAGTGCTGAACCTGGAGTCAGGAAGACCTGAGGCCAAAGCCTGCCTCAGACACTACTAGCTCTGTGACTCTGGACAAGTCACTTCACCTCTGTCTGCCTTAGTTTCCTTATCTGTAAAATGGGAATGATAATAATAGCACCAACTTTCCAGGGCTAGTATGAGTATCATGAGATAGTATCTGTAAAGCACTTTGCACGGTGCCTGTCATATAGGTAGGTTTTGTATAAATGTTAGATGCTGTTATCATCACCATCATCATCATCATCATCATCTCCTCTAACCATTGAGTATCCACATCTATGTACCTCAGCTACATTGTACTCAGGCACTTTGGGCTCTGCATTGCTCTGGTCAGGTGCTGTCCTTGCTCTTATAGAGTTACTATATCTTTGTGATAGCCTAGTCTTTTTTTTATAGGGATTTTTGACCATTTTTCATTTAGCATTTTTCATTTAGCATTATGTGTTTATTCAGTAAATATTACTGGGAGTATACTACATGTAAAGCCCTGAGGAGAACACAAAGATATTATAAGATATAGATCCTGCCTCCTAGGAGCTCATCTACTGATTAGTAATCACCTAGAATTTAGACCTTGTAATACATTTGCTTTATTCATTCATTCATTCATTTATTTTTTTATTTTATTTTATTTTTAGGCAATTGGGGTTAAGTGACTTGCCCAGGGTCATACAGCTAATAAGTGTCAAGTGTTTGGTCTGAGGCCAAATTTGAACTCAGGTCCTCCTGACTTCAGGGCTGGTGCTCTATCCACTGCCACCTGGCTGCCCCAGTACATTTACTTTAAAAGTCTTTCTGTTGAAATCCGAGAAAAGAAGGATGTGGGTGGTTTTGTCATAGGCATGTCTCTTTTTGGTCTGTCCAAGCTGGAGGTTTCGATGCTTGCTCTTCCCTAGGCATTGCATGTCTGTCTAGTGGTCAAGAGGTTGTTCCCCTTCCCCTCTGCTGGATGTTTTGTAGGTGTAGCAGGGCACTTGTAAAGAGTGACTTGGGAAATAGCGGTGGCACCTCTGGCTTTGCACATTGTGCCCTCTCTAGGTCCTTATGTTATACTCTTCCCATGAATGCCATTCTTTTTTGTCTATCTTTTGGCATCATTTGCTTCAATCCTGATTTTTTTTCTTTCTGCGAAGAAAAGGCTTTGGGAATGTTTGTCTGAGTCCATAAGGTGTCTGGTAGACCAGATACTACTCTATGATGATTATTAGCTTTCTAAGGTACTGGATAAATGCTGTTGCTAAATGAGATCTGATAAGCTAAATGTTATGCACAGTCATAGACTTTGCTTATAATGGTATTCTGTCTTGTCACAGGAGGAGCTGATTAACATGGTAGTCATCTCACAACTAGCCCACATTCCTGAGGACAAAGACCATCAAGTCCGAAAACTAGCTACTCAGCTGCTGGTGGACCTAGCAGAATGCTGTCACACTCATCACTTTAACAGCTTGTTGGATATCATTGAAAAGGTAGGACCTTCTCAAAATTAGGGATGTTACTTATGTCAGCAAAATGTGCCTGAGGAAGACCAAGTGTACCTGAGACATTACTCCAAGCCCAGGCAGTGAATGCTTGTATGCCTCTGCAGTCTTGAACACCCTGTCTTAATTGGCACTCTTCCAGAGGCAAGTAAGGGTTCACAGAAAAAACATTTTCTTGGTCCTCCTTCCTAACCTGAAGGTCTCTAGGAGTGGTTGATGTTACTGATACTGACACCAGAGCCCTAGAAGTAGGAGTGCTGGAGAGCGTTGACTGTTCATCCCATCCAGCTGTTTTCTCCCTTAACGTTTTTGAATTGCATGGAAATCTTGAGCATGTTTATTGAAGTGAGGGAGAGAAACCTTTTTTTTTTTTTAAAGACAAGAGAGGACTGACTTGGTCTGCCTGGTAACTACAGATTTGACAGATACTGAAGCAATGAGTTGTGAGCTTCAGTATTAAAAATAGATTTTTTTTTTCTCTTAGGTGATTGCACGTTCACTTTCTCCTCCTCCTGAATTGGAAGACCGGGACTTAGCCTCATATTCTGCTTCCTTAGAAGATGTGAAGACTGCTGTACTTGGTCTTCTGGTTATCCTTCAGGTAAGTTCTCTAGAAGGGAGCTTTAGAAATTTCATCCGTTCTTTTCTGGAAAAAGTTTTCTAGTGGAATATGATAGCGTGACTGCTTTCTAAGGATTTAGTTTGGTTGGAATTTCAGTCTCTGGGATTACCTTCCCGCTGAAGCTGTTTGTGAAGGTGATTGAATCTCAAGAATGATAGGCCTACACCTGTCCTGTTAGAATTCTCTGCTGAAATACCTTACTAAGTCACTGCCCAAAAGCATCCTGTTACTTGATAAATGTTGTGTATAGCCATTATGGCCAAATCATTTCAGCCTAGGACAGAAAGATCAGTGCCTACCTTGTATCACCCGTTGACAGTACAAGCACCTGCCGGTTATGTGGCTTGCATATCTCTTCTGATTCCCTTCTAATCAGCTTTACAAATGCAAGAAAGTTTTGTGGGTCCATTTCTTATTTATTTTTAATTTTTAAAAATTTTTAATTTTTAAAATAATTATTTAGTTTTAGTTTTCAACATTCAGTTCTGTAAGATTTTGAGTTTTAAATTTTCTCCACCCTCCCTCCCCTTTCCCCACAATGGCATTCAATCTGATATAGGCTCTAGTTATACATTCATATTAAACATATTTTCATATTAGTCATGATGTAAAA